GCTCATTAAGTCTTTGCCTACACTCATGCTTTCAAAATTTCTACCTATTCTCTATTCCAACAGATTTGGTGTTTCTGTTTGAATATTTAGATGTTTGATCCATTTTGATTTTAATCCATGGTGCAAAACATGGATGTAGTTTTAATCTTCAGCATGGAGAAAGTCAGTGATTCCATTTATTAAAGATGTGGCTTTCTTTGAGTGAAAGTGTTTGACTTCTTTGTGAAAGATAAGGTCGCTGAATATGTTTGAGATTATTTATGAATCTTCAAATCTGTTCTATTGATCCTCACCATCAATGAGAGATCCAAATTAAAACAAGGCTGAGATTCCATCACATTCCAGAAAGAATGGCTGCTATCAAGTCAACCAAAAAAATAAGATATTGACCAATAACAAATGTTGGAGGAGATGTGGGGAAAAAGAAATCTTTCTCCATTGTTGTTGGGAGTGTAGACTGGTGCAACCACTATGGAGATCAGCTTGGAGATCCTGAAAAAAACTAGGATTAGAGGTCTAGGTATCTTTCTGAAAGAGTTAAAAGCATCGTACAACAGCAATAGATGTGGGCCTATGTGCACAGTTTTAATAGCTGAATCTTGGAAACAACCCACATACCGATCAACAGATCAATGGATAAAAAAAGATGTGGTTCTTTTGTACAATGAAATACTACTCAGCCATAAAGAAAGATAAACTTGGGACATTTCTAGGTAAATGGATGTACCTTGAGATTATACTCTTAAGTGAAATACATTGGACACACCTGTATAAATATTGCACTGTATCTGGTGTGAGAAACTGAAAGCATAAATAATAAAATGTATAATAAAATGTATAATAAAATGGGCAGAAACTGTTCAAAAGAGGAACTAGAGAGGGGGAAGGGGAAAGGAAGGAAGAGAAAAGAAAAAGATGAAAACAGAAAGATAAAATGGAAACAAATATTTTAAAATAAGGCAGGGAAGAGAAGTTGAAGTAGGAGAGTGGAATGGAAAAAAAGGAATCAAGATATATCATGTACAGGCAAAAATTCCCTATGATGAATGTGATTACTATGTATATCAAATCATACAAATAAAATTAAGAAAAAGACCAAATCCATAGAGAAGAGGAGCAATAACGGAAGGTTATTATTAGAGCAGGGTCTTTTCAGGCAACATTTGCACACATTTAAATGAACAAAACTTAAATGTATCCAACCACATTTAACAAATATAAGAAATTTTATAACATAACCCAGCAGCCAGATTTTTTATGGAAAATGCATTGTGTGACAAAACTAAAATTAGTGAGAAGGGAGAAACATTTGTATATTTGAAATTATATTTGTTGTCTGGCTCAGTAAGACAAGTGAAAACCCGTATCTCTTTCTCCTGTTGCAGTATTGTGTTTGGTTGACCAACAAGAAAAATAGTGTCTTGCATTGATGTATGATTAGAAAGGGAAGGAGTATTTTAATCACACTTTCATATAAGACTATTTGTCATTTATTACATAGTAACATAAGTAACATAAAAGTACTTGTGTTTTATTGAAGAATATATGAAATGTGTAATCTGAAGCCCAATTAGTGAATTTTTCAAGATCCAATTTAAATTTTTTAGACTTCTGTATGATTCATGCATGATTTTGTAACATCAAGTATTGATCATTTGAAAAATACCAACTCACATAGGGAAGCCACCCTCCCAAACATAGCACACTTGTCAATGGATTTTCTATAGTAAATCAAAAAAATCAATTTTATAATGAGATGTGAACTTGAAAATGTATTGACTACCCAGTGATGTATGAAATATTTTAATGGTTCCATATTTAATAATTGTATATCACACACAACTTAGTCCTACAAAACTGGAAAATTTAATTAGTCTCAATGGAGTGGCAAAGAATGCTCTCCTATTAGATGCTGGAAGAAACACAGGCTACTTGGAGCTGGGATCACCAGGTCCTCAGAGCTCATCAGAAGTGTGACCCCCACATGTGCTTGGTGAAGACTCACCAGGCTCACAGGTATTTCAGAAGCAGGGCTGCCTTCATGTCCACACTGGGAGTCTCACTGACAAGTCCGTTTGCATTTACTCATGGAAGAAAGAAGCAGGAGCAAGGATCTCATCAAGTGCCCTAATGTGCAAAACTAATATTCCTGTACTGAAGTCTGATTCATTACTTCACTGCTCAGGTATGTTTTTACATATTAATACAAGTATTTCTATTAACATTAGAACTGCATTAGTTATATACAAGCACCTATTAAATACTTTAAAGTCTTAAGCTAGTGTAATGGTTTTGGTTCCTTATGATCTTTGTGTGCTTATAGAATAGCCAGTGTGTTTCAGATTCTAGAGTTCATTTTAGGCAATTAGTTCTCAAATGCCCTCCAAAGATCTTTTTTTCATATTTAGTCCAGGTCAAAGATGGAAATGACTATTACCTTGGAAGCCAGCATTAGTCCACGCATATTCAATATTTTCTTGCCCTAGAGTTAAAAGGATAACAAAGAAATCTATAAGCAGATGAAATTTATAGGGCATTTCATTCAAATCAAACCACAAATAGTCTTTAAGTTAACAATGTTGAAATGTCTATTATTGTAATTATGGGCAGTTTTTAATAATAGCTGGATTTTTAAGATAATAATGTTAATTCTTTAGATATATTAATATTCTCCCTTGTACGAGCTTTGGGTTTGTCCTGCTCTTTTTCTAGAAACTTGAGGTTCAGCATCAGGTTATTTAATTGGGCTTGCTCTGTTTTCCTAATATGTGCATTCACTGCCATGAATTTCCCTCATAAGACTGTTTTCATTGTGTCCCATGGATTCTGATATATTGTATTGTCATTGTCATTTAATTGCAGGAACTGTCTGATTTCTTCTTTAATTTCCTTTGTGACCCACTGCTTATTCAGAAGTGTGTTGTTCAATTTCCATGTGTTTATGAAATTTTTGCAGTTTCTTTTGTTATTGATCTCCAATTTCATCACACTATGGGCTCATAATATACAGGGGATAACTTCAATTCCTTTGCACATACTTAAACATGTTCTATGAGTGAGTATGTGGCCTATTTTGGAGAACGATCCCTTTGCAGATAAAAAGAATATGTATTCTGATTTTGTGTGGAGGAACACTCCATAAACATCTTTTAAGTTCATTTCTTCAAGAGTTCAATTGAGTTCTAGTATTTCATTACTTATTTTTTGTCTAGTTCTATCTATTTCTGACAGTGGGGTATTGAGGTCCCCCACTATAATTGTATTAGTGCATATATGACTTTTCATGTCCATTAGTATTTGTTTTATATAGTTGGGTGCACTAGTGTTCAGTGCACTCATATTTATGATCTCTTTATTTATGATCATATATATGTATATCATCTCTTCCTGCTGGATTGTTCCCTTTACAAGGATGTAGTGCCCTTCGTTTTCACTCTTAATGAGTGTTGGATTGAAATCCACTTGATCTGCAAAGACGATAGCTATTCCTGCTTTTTGGGGGGTTCCTGTCACATGGAGAATTGCTTTCCACCCTTTAACTTTCAGTCTGTGAGTTTCTATCACTCATTTAGTAATTTCTGGAAAATTCGTATTCACAATCATTCCGTTGTCCACATTTTTAATTGGGAGCTAAATAATTTCAAAATACTGAGAAAAATGGGGATTTAGAAGAAACAACTCTTGGATTCCCTCTTCTCCACTGGATTACAATGATTGTGAAGAGGGGCCAGGGATTTAGCTCAGTGGTTCCACTACCTGCCTCACAAGCACAAGGACCCAAGTTCAATCACTGTTATAAAAACAAAATAAAAAATAACTGTGAAGAATAGAAATGAATTTGGGGTTTATTATGTGTAAGAAGAAAAGATTGAGAATGGGAGAGAGACATTCATGGCTCATATCTGTTATTTTGATAAAGGAAAGTAAAAATAAGTATAAGTGATTTGCAGGAGTAACCTACTGGATGTTAATAGTATCAGCTTGATCAGTTAGTACTGGTTTGAGAGTAAATTTCTGTGCTCAAAAGATTTTCTCATTTAGAGAAATAAAGCAAATAAAAGTAACCACATGTTATTCAGATAAATTAATTTATATAAAATATCCTGTAAATAACTGGAAAGCCATATGAATGTGTGATTAAGCAAATAATATACATGGAAAAGAAAAATTTATAAATGTTTCTGTAATTTCAAATTATATATATAATATTAAAATATATAGATGCTAGTAGTTTATTTATCGTATTTCAATTTTGTTTCTCAACATTGAAAATGAAATAATACTAAGGTTAAGTCTATGTAGCTAATTTTAGTACTGAAAAGATAATTTCTAAATAGATACTTATGATTTGGAATGCTTCAAAACAATAATAAATAAGTGAATTAAATTTACAATACTGATTATAGAATGAGGACATTTTAGTAAAACTTTGAGAGCAAGTAGAGGGAAATTCAGGAGAAAAATTGGCACCTAAATAATTAGAATCCATGCATAGCAGAAGGTTCCATTTCAGAGGCATACTTCAAGAAGTTTCTTTGCTTGTTTAAGTTTAAACATACAGAAAAGTAAGCTCAAGAAGAGAACGGTTTACACATCTCCAAAAGAAAAGGAGAATTTCTACAACCTGAATCAAATGTCATAAATGATGATGCAAAGAGGGAAAGAAAGTGTTCACACACACACACACACACACACACACACACACACACACACACCTCTTGAAAGCACCGCAAGGGGGAGACCAGTGTCATGACCAGCTTGGCATCATTCTCAGACTATGCATGTAGAACCTATCAGGATATTTATCAGCAGTTTCACAAACAAAAGAGAAATATGCACATTCCTTGGATTTCAGGATACTTTATTTTATCCATTTATTCTATCCTGATTTCCTTATTAGGAGGCATACTGTAGTTTTAATAGGTGCTCCACAATCTGCTGTAGCATCATCAGCTCACTTTAACCTCTGACTCTGCAGAGACCTCACCAGGTGGGCAGACATGGACAACCTCACTGTCTTCACAGAATTCCTCCTCATGGATGTCACACACTCCTGGGAGTTTCAGGTTCTTCAAGGTGTGCTCTTTTTAGTGATTTATCTGGGAGCAATAACAGGGAATCTTGGGACTGTCATTATCATCATAACAGACATACATTTGCACTCCCCCATGTACTTTTTTATAAGCAGTGTGGCCCTCCTAGACCTCGGGAGCATCACAGTCGTTGTTCCCAGAGCTGTAGTGAAGTCCATGACAGGCAAAAAAACCATATCCCTGGCAGAGTGTGCTGCACAGATTTTCCTCTATGTCCTTTTTGCAGCTGTGGAATTTGCCCTCCTGGTGGTTATGTCCTTTGACCGCTACGTGGCCATTTGCCACCCTCTGCACTATGGGCTCATCATCACCCCAAGTCTGTGCTCCCAGGCTGTAGCTGGCTCCTGGGCATCTGGTCTGGTCTACTCTGCTATCCACACAGGTGCTCTGTTCAGGCTTCCCTTCACCAAGACCAATGTGATCCCACAATATTTCTGTGATGTACCTCAAATTCTGAGAATTTCATCTTCAGATGTCCAGTTTTCAGAATTTGTAATCATTGCTCTAAGCATTTGTCTTGTGTTAATATGTTTTTCATTTATGTTTATGTCATACACTAACATATTTTCAACTGTGCTCAAGATGCATTCTGTGGAAGCCCGAAACAAAGTCATATCCACCTGTACCCCACAACTGGCCATTCTCCTATTGTTGATCATTTCAGGAGCAATAGCTTACTTAGGTCCCATTGCAAATAAACCTTCCCTTAAGAATCTGCTCACTGCTATTTTCTATAGCGTGGTGCCACCATTCGTGAACCCCATCATCTACTGTCTACGCAACAGAGAGATCAATGCTGCTTTGCAAAGAATGTTCAACAGATTCTGAGTTCTCAGTCAAGGATGTTTTGACTGAAACATGAATATTAACATATGGCTGAAAGTGATTTAATTTACTTGCTGTCTGTTTTTATATTACAGTCTACACTTGTGAATTATATATTTTAGTTGTTTTTATATATTTTCTTGTCTGTACTTGTTATGATGAAATTAAAATTTACATATTATTTACCTTGCTGGGTATTTTGTATATGTTGTATATTCTATATCCATTTGTGAAACACTAGATATCTGGCCCACATATGTTTTGAATATATTTCCCATAACTTTGAGCTGACAGCAAAGTCAGGCACCATAAGAGCAGGGCATGCAATACATGTTTCAAATTAGCAGACACCTGTGCTGCTGAGAGAACCTCAGGTGCTGGACCTGACCAACCTGGAGAAGCATAGTAAGTGGTCCTGTGAGAAGACCCTGTTCTCTGCACTGTGCTCTTTGCATTTGCTTTTCTACTCAGACTGGGATAAGTGACAAGGAGATTAGACGGGGACAACTTAGGCCTGAGAACACAATGGGGTGATCAACATTGAGAACCTTGCCAGCCCTTTGTGCTTTATCTTCTAAAATACTTTTGATACATTAAATGAAAACTAGGACACAAACCAACTGGCTTACAAAATACTGTAGTTTGGAAGCTTTTGGGTTCTGGATGAAAAGATTCATCATGTTGATCCTCTCAAACCTTGGCTGTAATGAATAACAGGAAATCAGACTGTAACAGAAACAGATGGAGCCATGAGTAATATTGGTATTTACCTGGAGAGCAGCAGATGATGCTTCCATGTGAGTTAAATTTTTCTCATCAAGTAACCTGTATTAATAGATTTACTCATAATGGTAAGCATTTTATTTTTCTGACTCTGAATATCTGAATCTGCATCTGAGTGACTAAAATACATAATATTTTTGTGTCTCAGAACCAAATTGAATTCCAAATTCTCCACCTGTTTCATGTAGAAGCCTTGCCTTGGAAAAACTCAGCATTGAGGCTCTGGTGCCCATTTAGCCCCCACCCAGCAGTGGAAAAACAGGTGCATCGGGCTCCCTGCATTCCTGTACTTATTGCTCCTGGCAGAAGCAAGTGGTGTTTGGCACCAGATCGTCTCCTGGTGAAGGTCTGGATGTGGCTCACCCTGCTCTGATGCTGGAGATACCTCAAATTTCAGCGTTTCACCACTGAGCAGGCTACATCTGTTCTTACAGCTTTATCTAGGTATAGGTGACAATCGAAACTATATGTAAGGTACAAAGTTAGTGTGATTTCTGCATTTGTAGAAATATTTGCCCCAAACAAGCTAACATAGCCACAAAATATGTCTGTACATAGCTCATTTGCCTAGCTGTTTTCAATGTAAAAGTCAATCTCTAATTTGTATTTAAATGTCACTCTTGCAAAGATAGCATGTTAACAATTATGAATCTTTGACTATTGAAACATAAATGTATTTTGTCCTAATAATTTCAATTTGAATTTGTATTCAGATTTTCTGTTCAGGTATATTTTCCTCCAGAATTTTGAATGAACAAATAGGTTGACTTTTATTTTCCAGAGTTAAATTATAAAATTGTGTCACTCCTGTTCTTTTTGTCTTTCTACCAAGATGGTATTATTTTTCTTAGTGGCTTCATAAAATTTCATGTTACTATTTGTTCTTGTGCATTATGAATTAATGTATCATCATGAGTAGAGTATTTCAATCATGAAACTCAAGTATTTTCTTATGGGACATTTTTTATTTCTAGAATTTTTTTGTTTTTAATAATTTCATTTACTAATTAATTCAATTGTTCATTGAAAAATAACAATTGTATGTAATTATATGATGCAGTGTGATTACTTATGTTTTACTAAACATACTGCTTAAATGTGGCAATTTAAGAACTCTATCATTTGATATTACCAATTTGGGGCAGGAAACATAAAATCTCCTTTTTTACATATGAATAATATGCAGTACATTGCTATTAGAGTCAACATTCTGTGCAACTGATCACTCTTATGACTTGTATCTAGATGTCCACCCACAGCCTCATGCACACATAGTTACAGCTTTTCTGAGATGGCTGGATCTAGGGTATGTGATTAAATTGTTTTATGCTAGGATTATGAGTGTTTGATCACTAAATTGGTCCACTGATATGTTAAACATGGTTCTGGGTGTGGATAATGTGAAGCCCACCATGGTTGTGGGTGGCGCCATCCAAAAGCCTGGAAGAGATAAAAGGGAGAGGCTTCTGCCTTGCTGCTTGCTGCCTTCTGCCAGCCATGGACTGTTTCTCCTTTGTCGTGCCCCTCTTCCATGCCATTCTGCCTTGGAGTCAGCCAACTATGGGTTGAAACCTCTACAAACTGTGAGCTAAAATAAATCTTTCCTTTTAATTCTGAGTGTTGGATATTTTATCTCAGCAATGAGAAAAGTAATTAAGAAAATCACTTAAGCTTATTCTTTCTGTTCAATTGAAATTTGTACACTTGGTCAATATTTTCTATCTCCCCATCTAATCCCCTCTGCTAATCAGGTAACATTAATTTTTCTTTGTAGGTCTATGAAGTCAACTTTGTGAGAATCACATATAAGTGAGTCATGGAGTGTTTGTCTTCTTCTACCGACTCTGATTTCACATAGTAGAGTGTCCTCCAGGTGGAGACATACTTGTGCACATGAAATAAATTCCTCCATTTTAGGATAGAATAGTGTTCCAGGCAGTGTAAATGGAACATTTTCTTTACACTCACCAAAACTGTTACTTTCATTGATACAGTTTTATGCGTATACTGTAGATATGCATAATGATCACATTCATCATCATAGGAATTTTTACCTGCACATGATATATCTTGATTCTTCTTTTTTCCCCAATCCCTTCCCTTCCCTTCAGTCTTCCCTTCCCATCCTTATTTAAAAGCTTTGTTTCCACTTTTTCCTTCTATTGTCTTTGTTTCTTTTCCCTTCTTTCATTTCCCCTCCCCCCTCCCTTGTTCCCCTTCCCAGTTGAACCCTTTCTTCCTATTTCCTAATATGTATTAGATATTTTGGTCCTTATTTACCCTTTTTGGTTTCTCACACCAGAGAAACATTGCAATATTTAAACATGTATGTCCACTTTATTTCACTTACAAGCATGGTCTTAAGGCATATCAATTACCTAAAAATGTGTCAATTTTATCCTTATGGCATAGTACTCCCTTTAATATAAAAGCACATCTTCTTTAACCATTCATCTGATGATGGGCATCTTGGCTGTTTCTATGATTCAGCTAACATATTGTGCTACTTTAAACATGGCTGTGTATATATCATTATGGTGTGTTGCTTTTAATTCTTTTGGGAAGATACCAAGTAGAGAAATAGCTGGATCAGATGGAACTGTGTACAAAGGGAGGAGAGTACTCTGAGGGGATTAATGAAAATATCTATTTTACTGTTATAATTACTTTTGTAATGCCAACATTCAGCATGTTTTGATCCCACCTCATAGACCTCATAGTAAGTGTTGGTGAAGATTCGGGGGAAATTACCACTTGTACCATGTTCTTGAAAGTATCAGTAGGTTTAGAAAATATTAAATCTATCTCAGAGATTCCTTATGAAGTAAAAAAGAACTCTTAGGATTCCAAAATTCTGCTAAGCATATAGTTAAAGGAAATGAGGATATTCAATTGCTATCTACACTCCAAGTCAACTACAGTATCATTCAGAGCATCAAAGACAGGTAATAAATAATTTCAGTGTCCAGATGAACATACCAATAGAATGTGATTCACAGACACCAATATTATTTGGAATAAATCCCCCAAGAAACCCTACTTGTGAAACACCTGGGATGAACCTTGGAAGCTCAGTGAAAGAAGCTGGGCACAGATGGGTGATTGCTGCATGATCCAACATGTCTGAGCACCTAACGTGGTGGAAATCACATGGAAGATGGAGAAGAAGAATGAAGAGAGGTGGAGGACAGGGGAGGGAGGTGGAGATGTCAGCAGGCTGCACACAAGTCCCCTCAGGATGAGTTCATCATGCTGATGAGTGTGTGAAGCTGTGGGTGTCATTAACCTAAGTGTAATGTGCGCTTGAAGCCTGCAGACCAAGTAGACTGAGGCTGTTCTCACTACACATATCACTAAAGTGATAGCTGTCTGTAGTCATGGATAAAGAAAAGAAGTAAAAATGCCATATTCACAGACATCGTGATTTTCTTTGTTTTCCTTGTTTTAATTAATTATGTATTTTATTAGTAAATGTTTGAAATAGATAATGATTACATTTCTCATGGGGATTTGGTGGATGTCCATAACCCATCTTCATCTCTTTTGTCCCTCCCCTACCATCCCTACCCCCTCCTTCCAACTTTTGTTCCCCTTCCCCTTTGAAAAAACTCTAATTACATTTTTATTCAGTTCTCTCCTTTTACAAATCCTTTTCCCCTTTCTCCTCTTCTGCACCATCTCTTCTCCTTTCATTTGAAACAGTTCTCCCTACTTCTTATCAATCCCTTATCTTCTTCTTTATTTATATTTTGGGTTTAAACTTGTGTGTCTGATTTAGTTCCCCTAACATGATTGCAATAAGTAATGAAAAATCATCAACCTCACTGGCCATTAGAGAAATGCAAGTTAAAATGATACTGAGATTCCATCTTACCCCAGAAAGAATGTAGTCAAGAAATCAAATAATCACAAATGCTGGTGAGTCCTGGGGATAAAGGAACCTTTCTACATTGATGGTGGGAATGTAAACTAGCACAACTGCTATGGAAATCAGTGTGGAGAGTCATCAAAAAAGTAAAACTAGAAATTCTATTACGATTTTCAATTGAGAAAATATTATGAATCTACATCAGAAAGAAAACTGCTTGAAACATCAAGCAGAGAGTCCTATAACCAAACACACAGTATATTATATCAAAAATTTAAAATCTATTGTATAACTATATCAGCAAGGAATAGTTAAAAGGCAAAATAAAAACTAGTCAGACATTTAATAATAA